TCCAGCAGCCCTGGGGTAACCTGCAGAGGGAAACGGCCAACCTCTACTTGGTACCTTGGACCAAAATTATCCCTACAGACAGCCTGCACAGCTTTCAACAGGGATGATAATTCCCAAACTGAATGAGAACTGGAAGATGTAGTGCGTGGGAAGGAATTTACACCAAGGAGGTAAATGAATGATGCTTAGATCATCTTAGCTCTCGTGGCTCTAGAGACAACTTATCAATGTATTATATGAAATGACATGGTTGTAGGTACTAGCATATTGACTGTGCTAAATGTTTGTGGTGGAGGATGGTGGGTCACTGGGTGGACTCCAGATCTGACTGTCTGAACTGAAAATCTTTTCCTGCCAATTAACTCCGCAGCCTTGAGCCCATCTCTCAGCATCCTTCTGCCTCATCATCCTCGTGTATCCAGTGTGGTTTTGCGGAAGTTTTTGTGAGGGTTAAAGGAGATCAGATGTGTGCAGGCAGTGAGCAATAAATACCCAGCACCCAGCAAGCACCCAATGCATGTTCCGCATTGTTAGTAAATTAATAATTTGACAAGGACTCCTCCTCAGCTGCATTCACCATATTGTCACATTGCTTTCATCTAATGGCTTCACTTTTAAAGCTGCTTTTATGAAAAGTAAAATTAAAAAAACAAGGACTTACTGGATAGCACAGGGAACTATAGTAAATTTCTTGTAATAAGTTAAAATGGAAAAGAATCTGAAAATGTATGTACATGTATATTAGCTGAATTGCTTTGCTATATACCTGAAACTAGCATTGTAAATCAACTACACATCAGTCAAAAATAAACTTAAAAACAAACTGCTTTTATACACTTCTCTGAGATGATTCATTTATTTTTCTCTCATGATCCTCTGGAGGCATCCGGGCCAGGAATTTTCACTGTCAGGTGAAAACTTGGGCCTGTGAGTTCCAGTGAGTTCATGGTCGGACAGCTCATGGTGACAGTCCCCTCCTGGCCTGCACCCCGCGTGGCCCACCCCTGGGTCTGCATCCACCAGGGGCAAGGACAGCACCTTCGTCCACCGCAGTCAGCCCAAGTTATCCCTTTACTCAGGGCCCAGGGAGCCGGCTGCGAGCTGGGCCGAGTTCTTCAGGACGGAATTAACATACAGGTAGATAAGGCGAGTTACTTTCACGAGAGCATCTGGACGTTTCAGTGAAAAGCAGTGTCTGGAACATCTACAGAGACAAGGGTCCCAGGGCCGGGCAGCAGGCAGGCTGCGGGGAGCTGGCCTTTCCCCCCACCGGGTGTCATCCGGGAGCCGCACGCCCCCACCCCTACCCCTGCCCCGGGGGGCTGGAGGAGCAGGACACCAGGGCTCCCAGGCCTCCCCCAGAGCTGCTGGGTCTCTTTGTGGCCTTGGGGTTTCCTTTATTTCTGGGCACTTGCCCACCTCTCCCCTTACAAGTGCTGTTTTCTGGAGGGACTCTGTCTAGCACGTGACCCCAAAATCCCACTCAATCAGTTAGACCCACTGCCCTGGCCCATAGTGAGTCCCCCGCAGCCCCTCACTCCAAGGTCTCCCCTATCACTGGCCACCACATCTCAGAGGCCCGGTTTTGCCTTTTTCTCTGCATGGTTTTGACCATTTCAGAGCCAGTCAGACTGGGTGGAAACTCAAGGGTTATTCTTCCTAAAAACGTCTTCACTTCCAGTTGCCCACGTATTTGGGGGAAGAGCACAAGCAGCCGGGTCCCCGCACATCTCTTCCCTGGTTCCGCTCCTTCACATGCTGCAATTCACAGGATTTTACTCTCTACTTTCTGGTTGTTTATTTTCCTTAATAGTCTTTCATGAGGAGTCTTATCAGAAGCTTTCTGAAAAGGACAGTAAATTACATCTACTGGGTCAAATTTGCCTGCAGTTTTATTAAGCTGGAAATTGTTCCTGTAATGTTTCCTGAAAACGTCGGATACTACGGAAGCCACAGACGTGGTAATTAACATGCAGTTCGAAGAATTCAGGCCCAAATACCCAAACACACGGGAAAACAGCAGAGCCACAGGAGACAAAGAAGCTTGAGTCCTGCCACCCTGCTCCCGCCTCTGTGTCACCTGCCGCTTCCCGTGCCCAATGCTCCTCAGAAGTAAAGGTTGGGTCCAGAGGATAAACACACTGGAGAGAAAGCTTGTCTATTGCGGGGTTTGGAGCATTTTCGTAACCACGTAGGGTTTGCTGTGTCTGAAAAGAGCATCCCCAGGCACTGAAGCCTCTGGTCCAAGACACTGGGCCGAAGGCCGGGGAGCACAGCTGCCTCTCTAGGAAGTTTTCAGAACAGTCCCCCAGAGACGGAGCAGCTCTGACCCGCAGGTGGGCAGCTGAGTGTATGATGCCAGGTCGTCACAGGGACAGATATTCAGGGAGAGGGGCTTGGGAGGTGGACGGTCAGCAACAGGAGGCCTGAGCAGCAGGGAGCTCAAGAGCAGAGGCGAGAGGCCAGTGTCCCAGAGTGAGGCGGGAGCAAGTACGAGGTGCTATGTAGGGGCGGGGGCAGGCCGGGGCCTCAGGGATCTCAGGACTCTGATTTTCCAGCTGGGTGTCTCCCAGCCCTCCTGTGTCCTCATGTAGGTTAGACCGAAACCTGGCTGGAGAGGGCGGCCCTGAATTCACCTGCTGCCTCAGCCCTGCAACTGGTGGCACAGCTGGTCCGCGTCTCCGGCACACCCACCCCACCTACGAGTTCTCTCAGGCTGGTAAGTTCCCCAGGCAGCACGGCACAGTCCAGAGGTTTAAGGCCAGACCGGGTCTGAGTCCAGCTGGAAGAAGGAGCCCTGTGTGACTCCAGGACAAGGACCCCGCGACCCCAGCAGCTTGTGATGAAGGTTACACGAGATAGCGCTGTGTCTCAGAGTCCAATCCACTACATGACACCTGCGTCAGTCCCCAGCTCTTTGCATTGAATGTATTCTGCTTAGTTTTTAAAATCATCTCACAGCCTCATCCATCAGTGACCCAAGAAACACCCTTTAGGGACAATGAGCTTGTGCCTGCATCCCCAGCTCAGAGCCTGGTTGAGCGGGGAGACCCAGGAGATGCCAGCCCCCTGCACAGCCCCTGCCCTCCTCCTCATCCCTCCTTAGACCTGGCTGAAGCCTGTTCACTGCTCCCTGCCCAGAATCTCCTGGAAGGTGCCTGTTTCAACCAAGATGAACCTGGCTGGATTTATGACAACCTCACACCTGACCACAGGCTTTGCCCACGAATCCAGCACCTGGACCAGCCCCCCCAAAACATCCCTGTTTCTTCCTCTCTCCTTACAAACTCACCATTAAAATCCCAGCACACCTGTGATGGGAACTTCAGAGGAGACTGAGGTGGAGACAGAAGTGGGGCTAACTCCCAGAGGGTTGTGGGGTTGGAAGGACTTCACTGGATGCTGAAGAGAAGGGAACCAGCAAGGGAACAGGGCGCCCTGAGATCGCACTGTCGGTAAGAGTGGGAGCGAAAGCCTGGACCCTCTGCCATTCTGAGTCTCTGTATCTACAGAAGCTGCTGGGAGCTCCTTCGCCCAGGACTAGAGACCGGGGCCTCGGCTCCCAGACACAGCAAGTGCTGGGAGCTACTCATCTTGGTAGAACCACACCTGGGAGAGAAAAAAGAGGCTCTTCTCCATTTCCCTCTCTGCCCATTTCGACCTGGGCAGCCACCGCACAACCACCAAACCAGCCCCTGAGAACCTGCAGTCAGTCCACGGACCACGCGGTGGAGAGAGCCTCAAACTCCCCTGAAAGGCCAGAACCCACCCAGAGCTGGCCTGGCCCTGCCAACCCAGAGGTCACAAGTATTCCGTGGTCTCGGGCACTAGAAAAACACCGAGGATCAGGCAGTGAAGACTCTGAAAACAGCCTTTTTTTCTGCACTCTGCCGGAACACTGAGATAAAAGTGAACCACCACCTCATGTCAGATGTTTTAAATGCATTTCAGCCACTGCTTAATATTCGGGAACACTGGACGTGAACTGACATTTCAGCATCCCTGCAAAGGACAAGCACAGAAGCCGATAAAAGCTCCCCTTCTGAGGCCTTAAGAAGATGGACAAAGAGAGAAAGTGGCTGGATTTAAAACTCTGACCCATGTGGCTACTGAAATGTCTGAGAACATGCATGTCTTCCTTCATCACGGACCAACTGGTTGTAGCCCAGCTCTGTATCCCCCAGTGTGATGGAAAGTGGAGGTGGGGCCTCCAGGAGGCGACAGGTGATGGGGGTGGAGCCCTCATGATGGAATCAGTGCCCTCGTGGGATGAGGACTGAGAGCTAGCCCGCACCCTTAGCATCTTCCCATCAGGTGAGGATGCAGTGGGAAGCTGGCCTGCGGCAACCCAGATGGCAGCCTGAAAATATTGCTGTTTAGACTAGAGACATCCAAATATGATTATAAAATAATAAATCTTCATACCATTGTGATAGATTATGCCGTCAATTTTAAAGGCAGGATTTGTTAAGTAAAATTTCAATACGTAGTAGAAGTTCTAGTATCAAAAACGTTACGTATTTAGTACTACAACCTCCATGATATGGAGGTAGTCTAACAGAGACGGCTGGCATATTTTATGCCAATAAAATAAAGCGTGTGCTAGTGGTTCTTCACGTAGATCTTGCTAATAAAAGGTACAGATAAAAAGTATTTTTAGAAAATGAGAAATTTTGACTTTTTTCTACATGAACTTTTGAATGTTTTCCTCAGGTGTTAGATTTAGGATAAGACCATTTCCCACACTTTGTGTACCTTTCTCTGCCTGTTAAAATTCTCACTAAAAGGCAAGCATTTTGAAGGTGAATAACCACAGGGTGTGGAGAGAATGTATTCCAGGAGTCCACTTGGGAGAATCAACATTTTTTTTCCTGTTAAATTTTTCATGGAATTCCTGCTAATAGCATGACAGGTATCTGAGAGCAGAGTCAGAGGATAAAACAGATACAGAAAGTTATTCAATTAGTGATTGGAAGGAAAGAGGCAAGAGAGCATTCAGTGACGCCTGAAAATTCTCCTTGCAGAGCAAACGCAGGGGGGTGAAAGCAACAGTTCTGTCCAGGTGAAGAAATCGGAATTGTAACATGTGAGCATCTGATGCCAATGAGAGGCCGCAGATGGACCCCTCCTCGATGGGAGGGAACTGGAGAAACCGACGCACAACCCGTGGGTCCAAGGTATCGATGTGTGTGCCTGAGTGTGTGTGTGTTTGCACTTGGAGGAAACTCTGCCCCAGCCCCGCAGCAGGAACCTGGGCAGGCTTTTCGGGATGCATCCTGGTTCTTCCCTTTCTAATAAAAGGGAGAAACTGGAAAAAGACCCATCTCCCTCCTCCATGCCTGGGGACCCGGTATTTTCGGCACGATGGAGAGAATCAGATGCGTAGACACAAAAGACAGCCCTCTCCATAGAAGGTATCTCTGTGTGGCGTGTCACAGTCTATTATGGGTTTGCGTGGGGCTGGATCCGATTAACTACCCCGAATCCAAGTCAGCCTTCAGCATAGGAAAATATTGGCTTGGAAAAGACTTCTCGGTAATGAATGTAATGCAGAATAGTGAACGGTACCCAAAAAGGTGCAAAGGTGCAAAGCCAATCAAGGAAGGGCAGATGTTTAAGATGCCCTTTGCTATTCAGGATTGTGATCCAACAAAAGTAGGTACGTTTCTGCTTTCTCAGTTTCCAAACGGGAGGCCCTTGGAGGGTGTCTGACGCTCTTGCTCTTTCTATGCTCTGTGCGCCCGGCAGGGCGGGGGCAATGACGCCGCAGCTGACAGCAACCAGTGCCAGCAAGGCTCGGATATTGGGAATTTGGGTGAGGAGAAGGCACTCCAGACCTTGCAGGTGACATTCAAAGACTGCCCGTGTGTTTCTGTGCGAGTGTGTGTGTGTGTGTGTGTGTGTGTGTGTGCGTGCGAGCGCACGCGCACGCGTGTTTGTGGAGACACACATATAAGAGGCCAGTCTGGGGAGGGTATAGCTGAGTGGTAGAGCATGTGCTTAGCGTGCACGAGGTCCTGGGTTTGATCCCCAGTCCCTCCATCAAATTAATTAATTAATTAATTAATTACCCCCTCAAAAATAGCAAAACAAGACAAAAATATTCTAAAAAAAAATTTTAAAACAGATGCCAATCAAGTTCTGCTTTCCAACGGATGAAAGAATCACAAAACCAAAGCCATGTGTCCACACACAAGCGGGGACGAAATTAGGTAGTTTGTCTACAAGCCGAGGTCGAGAGGGGCCCGGGCCGTAGTCCGACGTGAGCGAAGCAGCCAGATGGTCTTTGTTCCGCCTCACTCAGTGACCCCCGGGCTTTGCACCTGCGGAGGGCTCGATAAAATAAAAATGCCATGGTTTGAGCATATCCCAGACGGAAAGCCATAAAATATGTATCCGCAACGTTGGGTTACACATTAGCAACTGACAACTGCACATCAAAAAAAAAAGTGTCCTTATTCTCTGCACACCTGATAGGAAAACCCGGAATGAGTTAAGAAGAAAGAGCCGTGCGCAGGAGAACCTTTTCATTTCTTTCCTTCTATGTACAAACATGAATAATTTGACATGATGTTTAGACAGTTTCTCCCTAACTTAAGTCTTTTAATTAAAATGAAAGGAAGGAAGGATGCTTTAAATATGAATGCGGGAAGGTGTGAGCTGGCAGCCACAGCCCGCCTGCCCCGTGCTCCGTCACTTGAGAGTACAATAAACTCTCATCTTCTCCCACTGTTTTTTCATAATGTTTACGGTTGTTTTTGGTAACACGTAAACCGTGCGGGGTGCGATATCCCCCCTATTACACGTCAGGGGCACATATTAAACGAGAGCCCGTCCTTCCTCTGCTATTTACCTTCCTGGCAAATCAGTCAATGTATTTTCCTCGACTCCACCAGGCAATATTGCAGGGCTGCCTGCGGCTGGGAAGGTAAATGCTAACTTTTCAGCCGGTGCCAAACGGGCATGCCCCGGACTCAGCACTGAGTGAATGAGAGCAGTATATTCTGGGCTGAAAAATGGGCTCGGATGTCGGCCCTGGTAAATTACGTGATGATTAAAATGTGGCGCGGTCCAGCCCGTATTATTTCATTTTGCCTTTTGCCGGCTCCCCACTGACTGCCCCACCTTGCCTCTGGTTCCTGTGTGCTTAACTTGTAAAAATGCTAAACAAGTTTTGATATTTACCTGTTTATGATGAAATTGCAAAATGATCGGCTTCGTTCTGTTCTAAATTAAGGTCTGCATTAAATGTCATAGCATTTATCTTTCATAAAATGAGACAGCAAGGACACTAATTTCCTAGGTATTCAATCACTGCCCTGGACCGCTTGAGAGACAGCGCAGAAGCGAGCCTGCCCACAGTTCACAGCTCACTGACAGCCCTGAGATAGAATCATAAAAGTCAATTAATCATTAAAAGCTGTTACAAGCACATATCGAACCAGTCTGGCACAAAATGTTAATCAGTCCAATATCAATATAATAAATTCCTGCAAATTGGAGCGATCGATATGTTTAGGGCCTAATGAATCAATCTGAGGGCACTAGGCCGCTCCTTGGGGTCCCTGTGACATAGCAGCCGGCCGAGTGCTACATCTCCAGGCTCCCTGCCAACAGAGGTCACCCATCCTAACAGGCTGTTCACTTCAGCCGCAGTTACCACGGTGACAGCATGTCACCACTGCCCTCATGTCCTTCTAGGTAAGGTGGAAACCAATGCATCACTGCCTTTGATGGATTTGTCAATAATACTTAGCTGGGGAGGGGGGCAGCCCACAGAACCCTCGCAGGTCTCAGTCCCTGAGCAGTTTGGTGTGATTTAATTGTCTGAAGAGGTGTGTGCTTCTGCATATATGCAGGGACTCAGCAGTGGTTACAGGAAGAGGGAGTTGGCGGTCTGGCCGACTGTGTACGGAAGCCTTGGGAAAAGAGCCCAGGAAAGAGCAGGCGGCCTGAGCGACGGCCAGGCTGGTGTTACATTAACCGCCGTGTAAGTAAGAAGTACCCTGCAGCCTCTCAGATTAAGAATTTATTAGCTACAAAATTTTAATACATTACTCATGAGTGGAAATGGAGTCGGCCTTCACTCCTCCCAGGCTGAGGCTCTGTAGCTAGACGCCAGCACATGAGCTTTGGATGCTGGCCAGGAAGAGCCCGTCAGGATAAATTTGGGGCAGCGGGAATAGTGGGTGGGGGTCTGTCTGGGGTCCTCCTCCTCCCTCCCCACCTTCTCCTCACTGCCTATCACCTGCGACCTCCCTCTTTCCCAAGCGGATCCAGGACTCAGAAAGCTTGGCACAGGGAGGACCCACACCAGTGGGATTTTTCCAGCAGCCTCTGCATCGTCTGTTTTTAAAAACCAGAGTTTGCATGTTTCCAACCATTTTTATCTTTCACTCTGCCTATGAAAACTGACCAGTGAAGGGAGCCAGGTGCCGTTTCCACACTGCAGAGTGAAATGAAACCTCTTTTGAGATAAAAGAAATCTCAGCTCCTGGGACTCAGGGGAATCATCGTGTTCCAGAACCTTCACTGTCATTTAACATAAAACGTAAAGGTTAACACTGAATAAAATAATATCCTGGCTGATTATTTTAATAGTCTCAAAGTACAGCAGTTTCCCCCTGGATTGCAGTTCTCGAAGGCATGGACGATGCACTCTTCTGAGGATTTTAAGATACTTTTATGCCACACCAATGGGATAGTCCAGCTCGGTTTTGTCCCCAACAGTTACCAGGTGCGCCTCTCTCGCGGTCACCTGTCCCCTTACAGAATGATGGAAGCTGTGCCCACCCAAAGAAATGTTCATTTCTACTGGCCAGTTATTTTAAAAGATTTTTTTGTTCTTACCTGCATAAAAAAGAGAGGAAAAAAATCATTTTTTATAACGCTGGTCTGAATTATGGGAACCATCAAAACAAATTACAAATTCTACACTAGAGAAATAACTATTCAACACATTGACGCGGGGATGTTCAGGGTGTGCAGACAAAGGTAACGCCGTGCCTCTGCTTAATTGCCCTGACACCGCGCTTAGCTCCTCCAGCGACTCTCCGAGAGCTCAAAATCTCTCATTGTTATTAATTGTATTCCTTTCAGAATGTAATGTCACATCGCTGCAGGCTGAGCTAATGAAACATACCCGTATTACCAAAATAGGCATATTTCTTTTTGTTCAACGCATTCTATCAAAACTGTCTACTAAAGACATTGTGTTAAAGATCCTTTCACCGAGTAATATAAAGAATCTCTCAACTACCTCAACATTTCTATTACACGATTACCAAAATGCCCAGGAGGACGGAACAATATAGTGCGAATCCAGTTAGCCTATAAGACTATAGAAATATTGCTAATTCCTGCCTCTGATTTATGTTAATATTAACGCTAGATTACGTGCTATGGCTTCCGCACGGCCACTGCATACCAATTCGCACAAAGGCAGGGCGCCCCCACACACCGCGGCTCTGCGCCTCTATTCTAATGAGAATCTGAATTATTTATCTCTATTTATCCTACAGGAGTTCGCTCGACCCCAGTCCCGTCTTCCTTTCCTGCTGCACATCAATGCGTGTAAACATGACTTCATAGCAGCTGCACGCTTCACATGTCCTGTCCTTTTCCAGCCACAAGGATACACACTTGGCAAAAATGTTGCTCCGCTAAGAGAATTCGTTTAAGCATTTATTTGAGGCAAACTCTCCTAATTAAGTCAACTTTAACACAGACACGCAAATGGCAGGGTGCATTTACGTCTGGCGCCTAACGCAGTCTGCTGAGCCCAAAAGTAGTCAGTTGCAGCAGGCCAAGGAAATGGCTAATAAATCCCACCTCTCCTTTCTGTAACCTCGCTGCTGGAAAGCCAGTTGTCTGTTGGGGGCTCTGAGGGTCTCAGGGCAGGATTTTCCATTCTGCACCTTGCCCCTTGGGTCAGCTCCGTGGAGATGTTTTGGTGGTTCTGATTTTGCACTGATGCTCCAGTGAATGACAGAATACTTCTGCATCCCTCTTGCTCAAGGACTGGCAGAAAGGCTGCGGTGGGTTGGAGCGACTGACAGTCTTGGGGAGGATTCAGCCTATGGCTATGGAATGGTGTATAAGTCACGTTCTCCAGAGAAACAGGACCAGTGGGACACATATACATGTATATAAAGATGTATTATAAGGAATTGGCTCATGCAATTATGGAGGCTGAGAAGTCCCACGACCTCCCGTCTGCAAGCTAGAGGCCAGGAAAACAAATGGTGTCAGTTTCCCACCTAAGTCCCAAGGCCTGAGAACCAGGGAAGCCAGTGGTGTCAGTCCGAGGGCAGGACAAGACTGATGTCACAACTCAAGTCGTCAGGCAGAGGAGAGCGTGGATTCTCCCTTCTTCTACCTTTGGGTTCTATTCATGCCCCCAGGAGATTGGATGAAGTCCACAGACACTGGGGAGGGCCAGTTACTTCCTTCAGTCCAGCAACTCAGTTGCTAATCTCATGCAAGAACACCTTCGTGGACACATCCGGAAATAATGTTTTCCCAGCTGTCTGGGCCTCCCTTAGCCCAGTCCAATTGACAAATAAAATTAACCATCACAAAAGCCTTAGCTTTTCTGGGATGGAAAAGATTCCAGTGGGGGGGGGGCGGCGGAGGCTGGGATATGAAATAGGGTGTGGCGGGAAACTGCAGGAAAGCATTTACAAAGCTTTATGAAACCAGTATTTCTGTTGGAAAGAGTGAGCTGTCCAGAGTTGGAATTCCCATGTTTTAGGGAGCCTAACGTGGCTTATGAAAGTCACACCTACTATTCAGTTGCTGGTGAGGGTCTGTTAGAAGGTCAGCTACTTGGGGCTGCTGATCGGAGGTTGAACAACCATCTGAGCCTGCTGCAGTGTAGTGGATCAGATGCCACTGACAGGCCCAGTGTGAGGTTACAGTAAGTAGAATTTAAATAGATAAAGCAAAGATTTTGGATTTATGTGTAAAAATGTACCCAAAAAAGGTAAAG